CTAACCCTAATCCTAACCCACCGACACTGTGCCTCCTCACCATACCCGAACCCAAACCCTAACTCACCGACATTGTCCCTCCTCACCATACCCTAACCCAAACCCTAACCCACTGACATTGTCCCTCCTCACTGTACCCTAACCCTAATCCTAACCCACCGACATTGTCCCTCCTCACTGTACCCTAACCCTAATCCTAACCCACCGACATTGTTCCTCCTCACCATACCCTAATCCTAACCCTAACTCACTGACATTGTCCCTCCTGACCATACCCTAACCCAAACCCTAACTCACCGACATTGTCCCTCCTCACCGACACTGTCCCTCCTCACCATAACCTAACCCTAACCCACCGACACTGTGCCTCCTCACCCTACAGTGGAAACAGTACTTTTCTGGAATGGAAGTTTCTGAAGTGAGCACTCAACACAGATACAATCAACAAAATGGCCCAGCGGAGAAGATACTTCCTGCACCAGGATAGGAAGCTGAGCTTGCCCCAGTAGCTGCTGATCCAATTCAACACATAAATAATTCAGATATTTTGTGCACTTCAATGAGTTTCTGGTTTGGTTTGGCCAGAAAAGGACAGAGATGGACTGCAATGGACAGTCAGGACTGGAGAGAAAATCATTGGGTCACAATCTGCCTTCCATCCAGGACTGATGCATGTCCAGAGTTAAGTACTGGGCAGGTAACATCACTGCACATCCATCACACCCCGGACACAACCTGTTCCACCTCCTGTCCTCTGGGGTGTGCTACAGAGCAATGAGCACCACAACAGCCAGACACAGAGACAGTGTCCTCCTACAGGGCAACACACGGAGGAACATTATTAATTCAGGAACAACTCGTTGTGAATCCCACCTTTGAATCACAGTAGGTGAAGTGTTAGTGTATATTTTAACCCAAAGTGCTGCTCTCTGCTCCACTGCACTACCTCATGTTGACAACGGTTTTTGCGATAAACTTTGGCTCACTGTAATTTTGCACTAAACATTCACATGTTCGTTTACACATATCTATAGTTGTAATGAGTTTAAGAGGAAAGAAAACACTGGGTTTAGCTTCTGATTCTCATTCTGTCTGTGTTCGATGTTCTCTCTTACCTAAATACAGAGGAACAAAGTAAACATCCAGAACAGAGACTGAGGGGCAGCGAGGCCCTTTTATGGCAGGTTCACCACCCCGTCAGTGCAGTTCAGTCCAGTCCACTACCATGTTGGTCTCACTTGTGCTGCTATGGCTCTGCATTTTCTTTATCATCCTTCAACTCAGGCCCAAGAGGCCCAAGAACTTTCCACCAGGACCTCCTGCTCTGCCTATACTGGGGAACATTTTGCACCTGAGCATCCAAAATCCCTTGGAGGACTTTGAAAGGGTAAGAAAAATGCTGCACTAAATGCCTGAACTCATGATAACTGTTAAAGATATATTTGCCCTGAATACTTACAGGACCATGAGTTGCTCAGTAACAAAGCTGCTTCGATGCTTTTCTTATGCGACAAGGTGATACATCGTCGCTGTAAAGTTGACTGCTTGCGCACTGAGAGGGCTGCGTTATGTGGGTGAAAGGTCACAGCTTTGTGGTGCTCAATGCATTTAAAATATCCATCCATCCATTATCTATACACCGCTTAATCCTCATTAGGGTCGCGGGGGGGCTGGAGCCTATCCCAGCCGACTTAGGGCGAGGCAGGGGACACCCTGGACAGGTCGCCAGTCTGTCACAGGGCTACACTTAGAGACAGACAACCAAGCACACTCACATTCACACCTACGGACAATTTACAATCACCAATTAACCTCAACATGTTTCTGGACTGTGTGGGAGGAAGCCGGAGAACCCGGAGAGAACCCACGCTGCACGGGGAGAACATGGAGACTCCACGCAGAAAGATTCCGGTGCCCCCACCGGGACGCGAACCGGCAACCTTCTTGCTGCGAGGCAACAGTGCTACCAACTGCGCCACCCTGCAGCATTTAAAATATATTTTCAAAAATTGCAACATCTCTTCCTGAGAGCACATTTATTAGTATATGATGAATGTTGTGTAAAAGTTGTAATTATTTTAACGGTATCTGTATTTCAGAACTGCGTTAGACAACAAGAAAAGCTCTTCCTTTAGGACTATAAATTCTGTTGTGATCTGGAGACAGCGGGACACCTATAGGTGAACATCTGATCATGGTATCTGTTCATATATGGTGGGAGGAGGCTAGCACTGTCACCTCGCAGGTAGAAGATCCCTGGTTTGCATCCCAGCCAGGAGTCTTCCTGTGTGGAGTCTCCATGTTCTCCCCGTGCAGCGTGGGTTCTCTCCGGGTTCTCCGGCTTCCTCCCACAGTCCAGAAACATGCTGAGGTTAATTGGTGATTGTAAATTGTCCGTAGGTGTGAATGTGAGTGTGCTTGGTTGTCTGTCTCTAAGTGTAGCCCTGTGATAGACTGGTTACCTGTCCAGGTGAACCTGCCTTCACCCTGAGTCAGCTGGGATAGGCTCCACCCCCCATGACCCTAGTGAGGATGAAGGTGTAGAGATGATGGATGGATGATCTTGGTATGACAGGAAATCAACAGCAACAATGCTTCTGCAACTCTTTTGATGTGATTGCGTAATATGCTGTGGGTGGGTAAAGGTTTACTTCTTGTACACTTGGAGTTTTCCCAGGCGGTATGGCAAGTCATGCCTTACAGGGACACACTAAACCTCTGTGCAACGATAAAGTGGTGGTTCTTCTCCTCACATCTGATTGGAAAAGTGTCACATCAGAGCGCAGCTCCACAGCAGACAGTCATCCACCTCATTATTGCATGCCAGTGACACAAGGCTTGGACCCACTGACCACATGCACCTCTACAGACATCAGACAGGAGTTGAGAGTTGAGACGTAAACACAGTCAGTTTGATGCAGTCATCTAAACAGCTTTATCAGCAGTGAACCTTGTCTTTGCAATAAAACCACTTTGTTGTTCCTTCCCAGCTGAGGAAGTCTTACGGAAATGTCTACAGCCTGTTCATCGGTCCTCATCCAGCTGTCGTCATCAACGGGGTGAAGGCCATGAAGGAAGCTATAGTGACCAAGGCCACTGATTTTGCTGGACGACCCCAAGACCTGTTTATTAATGACGTCACCCACAGAAAAGGTAGAACACACATATGTCCCACCATAGGGGCCCTTGTTATCATCCAGGTGTTCTCTGGAAGATACCAGTAATGACAGTGATATTTTGAGGAATGTTACAGGTTAAGATCATTCTGTTTGTGTTGCTTCAACATTTGTAGGAGTGATTCTGGTCGATTATGGCGCCAGCTGGAGGGAGCACCGTCGCTTTGCTCTGATGACCATGAGGAACTTTGGTCTGGGGAAGAAATCAATGGAGGACAGAATTCATGATGAGATTCAACACACCATGAAAACGCTGGAACGGAGCATTGGTACGACATCTATAGGTCCACACAGCTGGATGCTGCTTTGCACTGTTGTTTCTCTAATGATCTCCTGTGCTGTTGTTCAAATGTTAGTTTGCATTATGTCTGTTACAGGCAAAGCTCTGACTTCACAAGTGATGTTTCATAATGTGGCTTCTAACATCATCAGCCAGGTTCTGTTCGGTACACGCTACGAGTACGATAATGAGTTTATCAGAGTAACTGTTCGGTGCTTCACTGAAATTTCCAAAATAACCAATGGACCATGGGCGATGGTGAGTGGAAGCACGTTTCTGTGGTAATAAACCTGATGTAGATGTCAATGTATTGCTTCAATGTGTGAATGGATTGTAACCAGCTCAGGAAGAAGGGAAGTATCAGCTGACTCTCACTCACTTGTGCACAGTGGCCCTCTCAGAAAAGACCAGATGAGGTGTTGGTTGACTTGGGTGCAGGAGACATCAGCCAGAACACAGCGGGGCCAGAACTTCCTTGACACTAGGGAGTGGTGAGGTTGAGGGCCAGAGCAGCAGGGATGCACAATGTTGGCAGGAACCATGGTTCTTTCTGAAATACCCTTGGAAGATGGTTCTAGGGCAGGAACAGGTAGTGTGGTTTAGTGGAAGCTTACTGGTCCTTTGGCTGAAGACTGGCAATGTGGGGGGTGTCAAGCCCTAGTGCTGGGTCAAGGAGGAAGGAGGTCAGAGAGCCGAAAGATAAGGAGATGTGTGACAGAGAGCCTTGATCTTGTTGGGCTCCTTACTTTTAGTAGAATCTAACACGAGGCTAGCTAACTCAGGGACTGATGGCAGATAGGTGGCTTGTTGAGCTGAGCAGGAGGCTAGCAGACCAATGCTAGCTGAAACAGGAACTGGAGCTAGCAGGAGGCCAGCAGACCAATGCTAGCTGAAACAGGAACTGGAGCTAGCAGGAGGCCAGCAGACCAATGCTAGCTGAAACAGGAACTGGAGCTAGCAGGAGGCCAGCAGGCTAATGACTAGCCAAAGCAGGAACTGGAGCTAGCAGGAGGCCAGCAGACCAATGGCAGGGCAACTGCTAGTCAACTCAGGATGTGTGGCTGATAGGAGGTTAGCTACTTATATCGTGGTCCTGAACTTGCCCTTGCTGTCCATGTTTATACAAATAGATGAAGAGACAAAAGCTGCTACTGATTAAGGGATAAATAAGTTCATGAGTGAAGAAGATATTGCAAAGAAAACAAAGACTCAAAAGGCTGAACAGACACATGAATCACAGCGATACTCTTTTCCTGTTGTCATTTGAAGGGAAGACCTACGGATAAAGTCATTTATCACAACACTTCATGCCAGAAAGCGGAATCTGAGTATTTGGATTCAGATATATTAATGTTCTTCTTTCTTGTTTTTTGCAGCTTTATGACTCTTTTCATTTCATCCGTAACCTGCCGCTGCCCTTCAACAAGGCCTTTAGGAATGTTGAGGTAAAAGCTGTGATGGTCAACACATATACATGCACATACACACTGTCACTGATGACGTCTGTTTGTTTTTTTAAGATTCTGAAGAATCTTTTGATTTGTTTGGTGAATGAGCACAAGCAGACCAGAGTCCCTGGAGAGCCACGGCACTTTGTTGACTGCTACCTGGACGAAGTGGAAAAGGTGTGTGAGCGTGTGACAACAGTCAGGTGGCTATTTCAGACTCCAGAATAAATGTGGACTGTGACTAAATAAATTATGGCAAATTCCTATTTGCATTTGAATTCATTGTGGCTGTGAGCTGACTCCTGTCATCAGTGCTGTATATTCACATTTACATTACACAGACCTGTCTTACAAAGGTAACTCATCTTTTCTAGAGACCAGATGCTTCTTCATTTTCAGAGGATCAACTCATTATGTACATTATGGATCTTCACTTTGCTGGCACCGACACCACCTCCAATACGCTCCAATACGGGTTTCTTTACCTCATGAACTACCCACACATACAAGGTACAGCGGCACACGTAATCATGACCTTTCCTTTATTTTGTTGGTTCTGTTCATCCATTAAGTTTGTACCCAGCTACTGTGAATATCACAGCAGAACAGGTATTCTTAACAGAACTCATTAGCTCAGACCACACAGTAGAAACGTTCACCCAGCCAGAGCATCTTCACAAGAACCACAGACACTCAGAAACATACGATCGAAACAGGAAGCAAAGGTTCCATTTAGTGCTTCGGCCAACTCGTGCAACAGATCTGACTTGACTGGAAACTGGAAACAACTAGAAACCTGTTAAATCCATGGTGGCCACAAAAGTGAAGCTTGTGTGTAGTTTATCTTATTGTTCATACGTCCAGTCATCCCCTCTATTATCAGTTCATCGTCTACATTGTTTTGTTCAATATGAAAAGCAAATACGATGTTGTCTTGGCCTCTCAGAACGATGCCAGCAGGAGATAGACCGGGTGTTGGAAGGGAAGGACCGGGCCAGTTTCGAGGACAGACACCACATGCCCTACATGCAGGTACAGTGCACTGACCACACAGAGTTAAGGTGTCCACCTGGGCCTGGCAGTAATGTCAGTCAGAACCGATCTGGTTAAAGGTTCATGCAGTCAGTCTGTCTTTTAATAACATTCATCATGTTGCTTTTGTCTGCTTATGTCAGCTGAATGCTGAGCTTCTGAGAGCAGGTGTTGTTCTCCTTCTGCTCTAAGTCGGATAAACCACAAGAAAATGTTTAAATCTCTCGTCATCCAGGCTGTGATACATGAAGTGCAGAGGACTGCCAACACTGTTCCACTCAGCGTCTACCACTGTACCACTAAAGACACAGAGCTCATGGGATATTCTCTGCCAAAGGTAAGCGACAACTGGTGAAAGAGGTTTGGGCAACAGAGACAACAAAATGAAGAATGTCCATTATGACCTTTGTTGTTTTGGTCAATATCCTCCTCAGGGTACAATAATCATCCAGAACATGAGGTCAGTGCTGAATGAGGAGGGACAGTGGAAATACCCTCATGAATTCAACCCTGAAAACTTCCTGAACGACCAGGGAGAGTTTGTCAAACCAGAGGCCTTCATGCCTTTCTCTGCAGGTACAAGAACATCAAGACTGCACCACACTTGGAGTGGCATGCTGAAGCAGATCAAATAGCTGCTGTCGATGACTTTGAGGTGTTTTCCATCCCTCAGGTCCTCGGATGTGTCTCGGAGAGGGTCTGGCCCGTATGGAGCTCTTCCTCATCATGGTGACTCTGCTGAGGAAGTTCAAGTTCATCTGGCCTGAGGATGCAGGAGAACCAGACTTCACTCCTGTGTATGGGATCACTTTGACTCCCAGACCTTATCCCATGAAGGTCCAGCTCAGATCATCCCAGTGAAGTGGTCTCCAGACACACAGCAGAACCAGTGCAGGATGACTCTGATGAACACAAACTACAGCTAATAAATAACGGAGCTGCCCTTTAATGCAGACAACAACGGAAACAGTGAAACATGACAGAAGCTGGGGGAGCACACTGATGGAAGCCCCAGATCATTTATCATGTGGTGACACATCAGCAATGCCTTCAGTCATTTGTCTGTTTATCTTGTCATGTACACTGGACCATCCTGGATATGGCATTAATCTTCCTTTTCTTGTGTGTGAGTGAAGCGAGATACAGTTGAACAAAAGTCTTGAATTTCCAGTGGAAATAATTAGTAATTGGATAATTTGGTTTAGTATTTTACTCTCGATATCACTAATTATCTGGTGTGCAAAGCCTAATCCAGGTACGGTTAATATTTTGGTGATGACGTGACCAATATTTAAACCCGTCGAGGAGATGCGGTGCTGTTTCTGTGCTTGATATGTCCTCGATATGAAGGTGACCTGCTGCACACTTGGACTGTATCCCAGTAATACAGCAGCTAGTAAACGATGAGGTGGGGATTCCTCCCTTCCAGCATTTGATTTGAACAGTGCTCTGTTAGGATGTTGTGTAATTACAGACGGTCATTCAGCTCACCCATCCAGCCGGCGACACCGGGCTGAGCTCAACAACCGCATGCACGGCGATAAACATCAGGTTTTATGTTTAGTTCTCAGAAAAGTTAACAGTGATATCTACGTCTTAAAATACAGGAGAATTAATCAGATGGATTCTGTCATAAACAGTTTTATCAGCATTTAACCTCATATTTGCAATAAAACCACTTTGTTGTTCCCACTGATTCTGTGGTGCTCTAATTACTTTGAACTTCCTCATACGGTCATCTGATGGTGCTTTCACTTGCACTCAGAGACCATAAATGCATCGTTGTTGCCTTCCCTGATACCTGAATGTCACTGAACTCAACGTATCTGAGCTGAGTGGCCACGAGGTGACCGAGAGCTTCTATAAACTCTGGTGAACTTTTCTGATCACTGTGACTCAGTAGCAGTGTGGATCCGGTTCTTGTTCTGTGGTTGCTCTTTGGTATAACGTTGACTTCTTGCACACTTGGAGTGTGTCCAAGTCGTGCTGCCAGATGTACACAGTCAGCTTTTTAAACTTACTGCTCAGCCTTCATGTGTGGTAGAGATGTTGGCAGCGACGTGGGTGAAAGGTCAGGCTTTGTGTCGTGTATTTTATTGGTTACTGCATGGCTAGAGGGAGACAGAACTCAAAAATATCTTCTGTTCACAATAACAAAGTCATAAAGAAGGAAAAATACAAGTTTCATTTATTTTATAAAACATGGAACATGTTGGGCTGCAGGTGGTTCAGTGGTTAGCACTGTGGCCTCACAGCTAGAAGGTCGCCGGTTGGCGTCCCGGTGAGGACACCTGGGATCTTCCTGCGTGGAGTCTCCATGTTCTCCCCGTGCAGCGTGGGTTCTCTCCGGGTTCTCCGGCTTCCTCCCACAGTCCAGAAACATGCTGAGGTTAATTGGTGATTGTAAATTGTCCGTAGGTGTGAATGTGAGTGTGCTTGGTTGTCTGTCTCTAAGTGTAGCCCTGTGATAGACTGGTTACCTGTCCAGGTGAACCTGCCTTTCACCCTGAGTCAGCTGGGATAGACTCCAGCCCCCCATGACCCTGGTGAGGATTAAGGTGTAGAGATGATGGATGGATGGAACATGTACAACATTATCTCAGTTGTTGTGATTAATGGACAAAAGAGGAGACTCTACATAAAATAGATATTTCATAACTTACATTTTAAATTAATTTCCATTCTTGCCCCGTCTGCTCTAACCCTCAGCCTGCAGCTCAGCTGAACTCAGGAAACTCTGAATTTTGTCACACAACGTTCGGTTGCTGCAGTTTGGTTTTTCCTTTACATTGAGGAGAATAGATTTTTATTTATGTATTTATTTATTTTACAAAACTGAGTTACAGAAAATTATTTTTGATTATTTTTTTGCACATTTTAAAATGAAACGAGCAATTTTTAAGCCTGCTTTGGTTAAAAGTTCCAACAGAACTGCAAACCAGACATGATGCATTCAAGGACCAACGGAAAGCTTAAACCACCAATTCTTGCTGTTTCCTTTAGCTCTGATGAAGACTACATTTTTAGAAAAACAACACATGATTCCATCTGAAGGTATGACACCTGTACTTCATATACTGACTGATTTTTATTTGTTTACTTTTTTTTACCCAATAAACATAATTAAAGGCATTTTGAAGAAACATATAAATTAGCCCTCATTGTCTAAAGCTGCATCGGACAGGTTGTATAAAACTTACTTGTGGCATCTGAAGGATGTGCATTCTGTTATTTCTGCTTCCTTCAAAAGAATGTGACAAAAGTAAAGACACCTAAAGTTTTCTTTGTTCACCATAAATGGTCGGAACAAATGTCAACGTACGGTAGCAACAGGGTTTTAAAGCAAATCACAGAATGTTGAAGGAGAAAAGAGTAGTTAGAAAACATTTTGGGTTTGGAAGGTATTCAGACAACGTTAAAGCTTTCCCTCTTTGTTATATTGCAGCCATGTGCTAAAAGAAGACTCGTGGCTATGATGTGATATTTCAGTTTTTCTTTGTTAATAAATCTGCAAAAGCAGCTCTGTGTTTCTCTGTCAGCATGGCGTGCTGTGTGAACATTAATGAGAAATAAAAGAACTAAATGAGGTCAGCAAATGGCTGCAATGCAACACACTGAAACTGTAGCTGTGTCTGAATACTTTCTGTAGCTCACCTGCCCTGGCCCTACCCACCTGTAGCTCACCTGCCCTGACCCTACCCACCTGTAGCTCCTGTCCACTGATCAGACAGTGACTGTGTGCCTGTGCCAGACGGGCATGTCTGTTAGATGATGATGATGCAAAGGCAGCTGAATGTAGGAGGTCATATAATCACACAGTAAACCTCTGGGTTTTAATCACTATCTTTAATTCATTGTCATGTCCATCAAGTTTCTGTTTTATGTGTGCACATTTTACGTCTTGTCTTTCCTGTTTTATTTTGAAAGCACTAACCTGTTGTCTCTGACCTACTTTACTTCCTGCACATCCTGCCCCCGTCCTGTCACACCTGCTCCCTGATGGTCTCCCTCACCTGTTTCCCATCTCCTCTCATTACCTCGTGTATATCAGCCTGTGTGTCTCACAGTCTCGTTGCCAGTTCGTTGTCCTTCACGGTCCTCGTCCCAGCGTTTCTTCATAGCCATAGTCTGTTTGTGCACGACCTCGTTTTTGTTTTTGACCTCGCCTTTCGCCTCTCCTTTTGGATCCTCTTCCTGTCTGACTGGCCTCCTGTGTATCGAACCCTGCCTGGTAGTAAACCTGCCTTTTGTCTGAACCCATCTGTGTCGAGCATTTGTGTCCACCACAATAAACTGAATGAAAGGTGCAACAAAACTTAGGTTTGATTGATCAATGTTTTTATAGGCAAAATACCAAAAATAAGTGTTTTGGGGGATATTTGGCCGAATGTAGCTCACGTGTAACAAATGAATGTAATTTAGTGCATTTTCAACAATGTAAGTGTCTGAAAAATATTTTCTGCAGATGTGTTTGAACGTTGTCTTTAAAGAAAATCTGCCAAATACCATCAGATCGTTCATCAGCCATGAAGTTATTCAGTCACCAGAAGACACTCGTGTGTGCTGCAGGTCCAGAGAATGCGACCAGAAACTGCTTTGAGTTCAGAGGCTTCATCAGACTTGCTGTAGTATAGACAGTAGGATTGGATTGAATTTTGTAATGGCTAAAAAATAAGTTCAGTATAAACCTCATCAGAACAGGGGCTTGGTGTTTGATTAAAGGAATGAAAAGAATTACTACCTGGCAACAGGTAAAGAACTCTATGATCAGAGGCAGCAAAGAGCTGAAAGACAGGCATTCACTCCACCACTCAGTCAGCTTGGTGTCTTCAGTGTGTCACAAAACCTGACTATCTATAACACAGTGGGCTGCTTTACTCTGTCTGTATGACAGCACTGGGATCAGGATGACAACTTCAAACTGGGACTCTTCAGCTGTTTCTAGTTTGACAGTAGCCAGGGTATGTGTATTTGACCATTTGGTGTGTCAGGCTCTCTGACAATATCTCAACCTAGACACCTGCACCTATCCTCTCCGAAGCAGTAGCACATCTTAGAGGATTGAATGCTCGAAAAGTTCCACCTCTTTTCTTTTGGGCATCACACAGTGAAAAATTACCCAAAAAATCTTCAAGATTGTGACTGTCGACAACGTATTTCCACCAGCAACAAGTCCCAAGTTCCTCTTGGTCCCAGTGGTCACCTGTGTGTGCTTGATGTTATCACTCACCTTAATACAGACAAACACAGCCAGAGGAGGCAGGGCTCAGGCAGAGGTGTCCTTTAAAAGCAGGGTAATCTCTGACTCTCTTCAGTTCAGTCCAGTCCATGCCACCATGTTTCTTTCAGTTGTCCTGCTGGGGCTATGCATTTGCTTCATGATCCTTCAGCTG